CCTGCCGGGCTCTAGCCGCGCGGCCGTCGCCGCCTTAGAGCGCCCGGGCGTCGCCGCGGCCTCGCTCCTATCCGCGCGGAGAAGCCGGTGGTGCTCAGGGTACCTCAGCGCAGACCAGAGCGGGCCCCAGCCCTCCCATGCCACGCCAGGGCCCGCGCCTCCACAGCTATCCCCCCAAAAGGCGCTCGCCGGCTTTGGGGACCCCCTCAGGCTGCGGAGTCGAGACTCCGCCGGTAACTCCGACTCTGGCCTTACAGGACGACCAGGGAGGCCCCGGGTGACCAGCGGCCCCACTCTCGGTTCCCCGGCCCTCCGTCCTCCCCTCTACGTAGCCCGCCAGGCCGACTCCACGTTCTCCCCCTTCTCTTTCAGACCCCATCCGTTACCGGTGGCTAACACGGGGAGCCAGGCGGCCGGAGCTGCGCAGGCAGTGACTCAGGGCGGCAGTGGCGGCGGGAGGAGCAGGAGGCGGCGCCGCGAGCAGATGGCGCTAAAAAAGACCCGTGAGCCCGCCGCTCGCGCTCATATACAATTAGCGTCAGCACGTAGGATCCGCTCCGCCGCCCTCCCCCTGGCCTCGCCGTCTCCCAGCAACAGGGGCGAGAGGCGGGCCCAGATCGGGTTGCCTAGTAACCGAGCCGTCCTTCATCCCTACAGACCTCCACATTAAATGAACGGGTTTAGGCTTCCTCTTGTTTCCACCTCCCGTCTCTACTACGCTCCATGTCACCTCTTTTCATCCTCGCTGCACTGGAAAATAAATAGGAAAAAAAATTAACCCTTTTTGCTCGGGACAAGGGCCCTGGTCCGCTCCCTCGCCCTGAGTCCCTTTCGTATCCCTCGGCGTGGTGCAGGGAGTGGTGAGGAGACCGCGGGCATTCAGCCCCAGCTCCAGAGTCGCTGCCTACACTACACAACCTCGTTGGCTCCTGTCCCGGGCCGGGCCTAATGCTTGCAACTCCAGGTCCTGGGTAACCATTTTCTTTCCCCGCCCTTCCACGCCCCCGCCCCCCATTTCTTGCAAAACAGCCTCCTGACCAATCCGACGACGTCTCTGTGGGTCTCTGGGCCGCCCGGGAGTGCACCTCCTCCTTACCCCTCCAGCCTAACCTTTCACCTCGTGCTGTTCCTCATTTCTGCGAAAGTTCTTGATGAAAATGTGTGTCTTTTCTAGATGCTTTCTAACGAGAACACTGGGGGTTTCATCTGTCTAATAAAGTAAACCCTATATATGTAAATCTGCAGGTCGGTGACTGTTTTTCACTTAATACTGGATTGACGTAATAACTCTTAAGGTAGTAGAGTTCCAGGTTTGATTCCCGGGCCTTTTCAAAAAGGAGACCAAAATTATTTCCATAATAATATAAAAATGCTATTTGCCTTTTCCGCTCTCTTTTCAGTATACAATGGAGTTTTCCAGAGGCTACATAACATGTGATGTGGAAACATTGAAAACAAGCAGATTGGCAAATCCAGTCATGTGCTGTTCAACCAGACACGGCAGAGACTCCCAAAAATATAAAACAATGCCACCCTACTCCATTTTTTGTTATTATTTAATTATTTAATTTAATTATTATTCTTAATTTTAATTTCTGTTATGAGAAATATCAGTGTCTATAATGCATGTAAAAGTAATTTAGGGTCTTCATTTTAAGAATGTAAAAGGATCCTGAGAACAAAAATTTGAGATCCTCGCCTCTAAATATTGCATGCCTTGAAACTTCAAACTGCTTAGAGTATTGTCATTCTCACTTTTAGCTACTATCTTTACTCCATTTTATAGGAGACAATTTTTCCCTTGATCCTCACCAACCTTTAGTTGTCTTCCCCATTATACCTTATAAATGCCATTGTCTCCTAATAACATCAGCAGTGACTCCTCATCATTGAGGGTTTTGTGTTTTGAGAAAAAATTGCAAGATGCATAAGCTAGGTAGACCAAAGGCCAACGTACACATAAACTTGGTGCTAATGATAAGGAGGCCTGGAGAGCATTGCATTTGAAATCAAGCTATGCATAAATTTTAGTTAGCACACTAAAATTTACTAAGTAGCACCTCCTTTCTGTAAATCTCTGTGATGGTAGAATTTATAAGATCAAATTGAGAGGTTAGCCTTCATGAGGTTCTGTAGTAAGCCTTCACAATTTTAGGCACTGGCCTAAGGCTCCTAATTTCTGACACTTCATTCCAAGCTCCATATTTAAAGGCTTACTGCCAATTTATAATCTCCTTCCCCTTTTCTGTAGCCTCCTCCTCCAGCACCTTCTTTCCCTGTATCCTAACTAATCACAAAACAAAAAACTAATAAACCACTAATAATGCATGACTTTTAATCTGATCACTTAAACCCAACTTGTAAAAATAACCCTCTAAAACCCTCTAAAGCTTATGCAATTATTTAAGAATATTTATATGTAAGAAGCAACCTGAGATTCTAGAAATATAACATTGAACAAGAAAGGCAAGGGTCTTCATGTTCCAATGGAGTGAGACAAATAATAATCAAGTAACAGAATAGTATTGGATATTAGTAAGTAAAAAGAAAAGTCAATGCAATAAAGGTAGAGGGTAAGGGACCTGAAGATAGCCTTGAACTTTTCATGTAAACTCCTTCCTGACCCCCAGAACACACATGTGTTAATTTACAGTTAAGTTATATTAAATGGTGACCAGATCACTGATCTTGAACTGCTAGACTTCAGTTAAAGTTCCTTTAAAGTTTCTTCCCTCCTACCATTATTTTATTTAGTAGATTGGTGCACAGTTTAGAAGTATCAGTTGTCTTCCCCATTATACCTTACAAATGCCACTGTCTCCTAATAACATCAACAGTGACTCCTCATCATTGAGGACTTCACCCTGTTTTGTTGTGAAACATGTAAACTGCTGAATATAGTACCTGAAATCTATGTAAATACTCAATAAAAGTTGAACATTATAAACTGACCTCTGAAGATTGTTTTATTTAATGGTTGAAGGGAACCATCTTCAAGTTTTGTGAAATATTTTATTAAAAGCTATTGTCATAAATTTCAAATTGTTCTTCCCTGAAATAACCCACACCAATTACTTAAAAAGTACTACATTCAAATTAAAATTACATACACTGTAGACTTCAATAACAATGACAAGGACAGTATTTTAAATGCTCCGTGTCTGTATTTCAACTCTTATTTTGTAAGAAAGTCAGACGAAGTGTCAGTTCATCTCAACACTCCATGACTTTACATGAATACTTATCTACTCTGACTCTTAGGGACCCCACCTGTACAATACACTAATAATCCTAACCAAATTGCTTCTTCATTAGCATGAAATAGAGAAATAATTATTAGTTCTCAGAGCAATGACTTGCACTGTGAGTATTCAATATCTGATTATTTTCTCCCTTCTCGATTAGTCAATATATAAAATTTCTAAGAAGTCCAATAAAAATTATCAAATAAAAACTGTATAAGATGCATTTTTGCCATTTTTTCCCAAATTATTCTAAAATGCATTGTAGAAGCAAAATTACAATGGGAAATACTAGACAAATTGAAATTGCCTTAACTGTCTCCCTCTACAACCTAAAAAGAACTGATTTTTTTGTTTGTTTGTTTGTTTAACCATATCTTTATTTTTGGTATCATTTTTACTTTTTTGTTGTTTTAAAATTTATTTATTTTGCATATAAGGACTGGAGTTCAGGTCAGAGATGCAGGGGGTGAGAGGATTCACCAGAGACAGAGTGGGAAACAGAACAGATGATTGACTGAAATACCCTGCTGAGGGAGTGGCAGGTGAGACAGGAAAGTTCTGCCAAGCCATGGGAGTCAACCCTTGGCTGGGGATTGAACTCTTGCTACAGTGGCTGTGGATAGCTTAAACCCCAGTGCCACAGGGAAGGCCTTGGTATCATTTTTAATTGTAATGTTTATGAAGTTGTTTACATAGATTCATAAACAGTGGTACAAAATAATACAGAGAGATTTATATGAACTTTAATCAGTTTGCCACAATGGTAAGAACAAACCACAATCTTAGATTTCTTTGGTTTCAGCTGGATCCCCTGTATGTGTTCTAATGTTTAGTTCCTACACAATAATATTGCATGTATGAATTTGTGTATCTATCATTATGGAGAAGAAAGCAAAAAACAAGGATCCTTTACACTTACCCTATTAAATAGTCAGTTATTTTTCCAGATTTTACTTTTTCCCCTTGTGTTTTTTTTTTTTTTTTACAAATAGACCACAAAAGCAGAAGAGATGGTTACTTTGTTGTTTTATTTTTAGATTTATTTATTTATGTATACAGAACTGGGGTACAGGCTAGAAATACAGGGGCAGTGAAAGGATTTACCAGAGACAGACTGGGGAGCAGAACAGGCATGTTGGCAAAGTACGCTGCTCAGGAGAGCAATGGAAGAGACCAAAGAGATCTGCCATGCCATTTGGGTCACCTCCCTGGCCAGGGATTGAACTTGTGCTGAGGTGGCTATAGCTAGCTTCGCAGGGCTGCACTTTATTAACCTATTGCGCCACCAAGAAGGGCCCAAGATGATTACTTTGTGTAGCTCTTCAGTATTTCCTACTGGAATTATTTTTAATAGCCTTGCAACTGATCTTCCTAATACCAGTCTCTTATTCTTCTGATGTCCATTGCTGAAGTTATAATTCTAAAATACAAGTCTAAACAAGTCTATGGTGTCATACAACCTTTAGTGGCTCCTTGCTATCAACATGACAAAATAAACTGTACAAAGTCCATCCCATTCCAAATTCATCCTATTTTTCTAGTCATACATCCCACTGCTACTGACATGAACCCAATACTTTATGATTTTGAACTATTAACTACAAAGAATATAGTAAATCTCTGTCACTCCATAGTGGTAAAAAAAAAAATCAGTAAATAATGAATGATGGAGAAGGGAATTCCTTTTAGAAGAATTCCAAAGAATATAGGTAGATATATTCTGATGACAGGATCCCAGAGACAGAAACACTATGGGTTAGCTGTGGACTGGACCTAAAGACACACTGCTGAAGAAGAGTATGGAGAGGGGGAAATAACTATAGTGGAGAAAGCTGGCAACCACAACCAACTAAATGCTAGTAAAGAAAAGTAAGCATCAACTAGAAAAGGAAGGTCTTTAAAAAAGGATTTAAGGTGATCCCAGCATTTCTCCTGCCCTCATTCTCTGAATTGTTTGCAGAGTTCCAGTTGTGCTAAGCTGGAACAGAGAACCCAGAGTCTCATCACTTCTATGGTCCATAGGAGTCACTGTGAGAAGGGCCCAGAGAAGAATAAGCCATTTTCAGTGATAAACAAGTGGTTGTTACTAGTTGCAATGACTGCCTACTTTGGTGCTGGATTTGCCGCACCTTTCTCTATAATGAGACACCACTGCTTAAGGAAAAGAGGCGTTTTAGTTTGTCCATACAGCAGCAATGAAAAGGATTATTTTAAGATGTGTGATCTCTGAAAAATCAAACTCTCAAACACAGCATACTAGATAACGTTTGTAAACAAACTTATGGCATGAATCTTTAATGTCTCATCTCTGAGAGAAAAAAAAAGGGAAGACATCACAGAAGCAGCACTCAAAACAAATCTTGGAGAGGAAGTAAGAACCTGTCATGTGATGAGAGCATTCCTGGCAACAGTATCCCCA